TTCGCATGGCATTTCACGTCAGACATTCTGCACAAAAGTATTAAAGCCGGAAAAGCCAACTTTTTAATGACGTCATCTCATTGTTTTGAATTGGTCATATTTTATGAAAAGCACACAAACGTTCTAGAAGACAGACCAAATGGACAAGACGGAGAGCGAGATGAAAAAAATCTTGAAACACTTAAAGACGAAACTGTAATATGATATGTCACCTTATTCAAGGTATTTTTGTGTTGTCATAATAAATAGCTCTCAAAGTTTGCCATTAAATTGTGATCTTCCATGATTTGTTAGTCCATTAATACAAGCTCTCTCTGTCACTGTCAATTAATTAATAAAATCGGAAAAATGCTGACAGATTCATAAAGGAATTCTGTCAAAGAATATTTGTTCAAAATATTATACATTTAGGAAACTACTCCGTTTCGCCAATAAAAAAAAAGAAAAAAAAGAAAAAACATGAGGTAGACACAGAAAATAGATTTATGGCTTTTCATTTTGCAATTTTCTTGACAAAATTAAAAGGGGAAAAACTTCGGCTTTTGTAATGCTTTTTAGGGCCTCCACGGCCGTTAAAATTTCGTTGTCGACAACTACTTGTTAATCTCGACAACTAAATGTTCACGATAATTAAAAAACGTAGTGTGCGGGATGAGTTGTCAGCAGCTAAACATTATTTTTTTCAGTTATCGACAACTAAGCAGTTTCCATTTTCGAAAGGAAAAACTGTTTTTTAAATTTTGGGGGAATCATTGGTTTAGTTGTCGACAACTATCGAAACTGCATAGTCAGTGGAAAGTGATTTGAGCATGCGTAGCGGTAGTTAGTTCCCATGGCCTCGCTGACCCGACTTAAACATCGACAAGGAACCCTCCAATGTGTGGGATGCTCTGATCGGACACAATTTGTGGCCGATAACAATTAGTTATATTAATGACGACTAAGTGTCTAGTCTCTGGAGGCCCTTCGAGATCTTTTTTGGGCAGAGGGGACATTGTAAGGTTTCAAATCAGATAACTTTGCTCCCATGGATCCAACATTCAGTGCTCGCGTTTTCATGTATTTAATACTTTATATTTTGTATTTTGATTCCTTCGAGATAATCCTGCAGTTTGCGCTCCCCATATGTTTAGTTAGGCCGTTGCTTCTGCGACGTCTGGTCTAGTTTATTAGCTAGTTCAACTGGATTGGTCACTGACAACCGAAAAACTGTGACAGGAGTGGAAGTGGTTTGATGGATACTGGCTGTTACACGTAAGCGAGTACTAAATATTGATTTAATATCTTAAAGGAAATGGATATTGACCGAACAAAAACTATTCTCGGTCACGTACGGTTCCTTTAATATCACCGGTTGGTGGTCCAATTGGTTGTCAGGTGAAAGGGATTCCAATGTATTTGTTTGTCACAGAAAAACTCCTACATAAATGAAATCAGCCTGAAATGATAAACAAGGCCGAGTAACAAATATTTACGAGGGTTATACATGGGATAAGAAAAAGTATACCGCCTCATCCGGGCAAACAAGAACTAACAAACCTGAAAGTTTAAGGTTCGCAAACCTTAAAATACTGACTGACAATTGTCAGAAGACTGAAACTTAAACTGACAAAGTGACAAATGGCCAAGTTTTAAAATGAAACCCAATAAAATGGCCCAATAATCAACCTGACACATCTTGTGTGCACTGCATGAGTCGACCAAAGGTCGACATGATGTACCCTAAAGCAACACTTTAATTACAATTTTACCGGTTCGTAGCCGTCATTTACCTATATATTGGATATGTACTACCTATACAACGAACATTATCACGCGTCACGGTGCAATAGCGTGATAAGTCTTATGTTGCCTAGCAACAGCAACGATAAAACGGTGAACTCAATACCATCACGCAAACGATATTTCGCTGTCGGTTGATACTTATTTTTCTACTTAAACGCACCTCACTTTCGCGCATTTAGAAACCTCTTGCTCTAACTATGGCTGTATTCTTGCCTGATGCCGGGAAAGCACTTACATTCTGCTTTACGAATACGTGAGCCAATAACCGAAAGTATAACTCGCAAAAGATAACGGAAACAAAACTCGAGATATCTGGTCAATTCGTACAGCAGTTATCTTGCTTCTGCGCATGCCTTCTTCAATGCGTGCTTTATCCTCCATGGTGACTATGTCTTCTAATGACATGGGTAATGACTTGTCTTTTACCATGATGTTCATCTCAGTAGCCTGGTCTTCATCCGGGACTTTATGTTTTGCTATTCTAGCCTTTCGTTTTTGATACTTAACACATGGAAGCAGTTTGGATTTAATCGAGTGGCGAATCTGCAGGAAACAAGAGTACCCATAGTCAGAGTGTGGTTGTCAGCCATCGGTATCGTAAAATAATAACCGGATTAACTTGCGGGAGAAACGTGTTTTTACCAAGCGAAACAAACCACCAGCAAGTAGAAGTTAAAGGAGCGACGTCATAGTATGCACATCTTGAAAGGTTTAGCCTAAATGTTTCAAGTTTGCGTTTGTAATCCGTGTTAATCTTCACCATCCTTAACTATCCTTGTTCCTTTATTGTTTAATATTAGCTCTTTGGTGTTTTTGTATCTTAGTGCTACTATTTTCAGTTTCCCTTCCACTGAAAGGTAGTTTTGTACGTGGATAAAATTTACCCAAAATGCTGTGACTGAGCTCCTGGGACGCTGACAAATGATAACAACAGAGACCCCGTCATCCAGGCTACGATTATGTTTTCTAGGCTACAAGCTGGCTATAATGCTAAATGAAAGAAACGTATCAAGTAATAAAATGTAGTCTGTAAACTTTGTAAAGTTCTTCGATGGCACGAATGTACCTTCAACACAGATCTAACTGGACACAAATTATTTGGACCAATTCGTGGCCATTGCGATGCCTTCTCTTTCGGCATCATGCATTGATACTCTTACAAGGACGGGGCACTGGTTACTAACAACACTAGAGCAATTTACTCACCATTTCATCTTTGTTGTAATTGCAATCTTTTCCAAGTGGCCGTGAAGACAGCAAAAACACTACTAGACTCTCAATGACAGAGAAGAATATGAATCCAAACGAGACCAACAGGTACCAGTCTAAAGCCTTAGCATAGCTGACCGGCGGCATGGAGGCGTTAATGGCTCCAGACAGGAACATGATGGTGAGAATGGTGGTGATTCCTATCGTTAACCGGTCACCGGCGCTATCTGGGCTCATCCAGAACACAATCCAGCTAATCAGGACAATCAGGATGTCAGGAACGAAAACCTGTAATAGGTAGTAGCCCAGGCGACGTTTGAAGGTATAGGAGACTGTTATGGTGGTAAAGTTTACTAAGAAGAGAACAAAATGAAGATGACAGTCATAGTAATTTTCTTGGAGAATTCTGTCGAAGGGGGAAAGGTGCAATGAGGTTTACCCCATGTAAAGTACCAACCCTTGAGACAAGACCAGACCACAACAGCGGTAACTACGTGCCAACTCTTTCCGATAAGTGTGTGGGTTCTTTATCGTCCCCTGCTAACCATGTAACACTGAAAATGCAGGAGACGGGGCCTACGGTTTATAGTCCTTATTCGAGAAGACTTTAACGTCTAATTATTTGCAGATGTAATTACAAAAGCAGCATATTCTCTTCAGTTATTTTAAGACCCTGAGTGTTGGTCCAGTCTGGGGCCCGAACCCTCGACCTCCCGCACAGCAGATTGCCGCTCTACCAACGGAAGGAAAAATCTTCTTGTTCGGATAACTATAAATGGGCATTGCACTTGAATTGATTCCATGGCTTGAGAAGCCCTTTTGTTGCTTGATGTTCTCACATATGGAAAGTTAAATCGCGCTTGCTATATGTTTTAGTGCGCACGAGAAAGAGAGCAGCTTTCAACTGAGTGTCGTAAGACTAAAACCAAAGTAATCACCCTAGCCAATCGCAAAAATATACAGACAATCCAGTGAACCAATCAACATTCGAAGAAAATACATGTCGCTGAAGCAAAGCGCGGGAAAATGAGGCGAACGAGTTACGATTAGTTTTGAGTCTTACCTCTGATTGGATGAAAAAGTGGCGCGAAGTTTTTAAGCCAATCGTGTAGCATAGTGATAAAAAACCAATTACTTTTCGACACTCAAATGAAAACCACTCTAATGTACGTGGTTTAATTTTATTTGCTTTGTAATGTTAACACAGAACAAAATGCCTTTTTAAATTAGCAAATTATAGTGCACGCATAATCAAACTGAAACTGATTTATATAACATGTTGTGCCAAGTACGCAGTCTTTAATAACAGCTTAAACGCAAGAGATGGATTCGAACGTTAGTAATTTGAATAAGTGCTTATTCTTACCATTCAGGTAACTGTCTTGGTTGGAAGTAAAGCTTGCGCCCATGAATTGAAACTGCGCCATGTTATCACGACTGACATGCACGTCGGAATTTTTCCACTTAAAGATGACGTCACTATCATCATAGGCATCTGGAATTGAAAGAAAGAGAGTAGAATGATATGGGGTTATGTATGTGTGGTTGAATCGTGGTAATAAACCTTGGGGGAAGGGGCACCCCCTATAATGACCTACGCGGGGAGGCTTCGCGCGAAAGGGGTATCTTTTTGAAGATTCAGAAATACAAAAGGCGAGGGATTTCTCAAGTTGTGGTATATTAAATTGTAGGGAAATCTGTCATTTAGTCATTTTAAAGGGTCTTTTTAAAACATTTCCAACAGACGCACCTTATGACTGTATCATTTCACTTATCAGGCAGCACATGAAAATGTGGTGAGCTCCCCTTATGAAACTTAGTAGAATACCCCTCCCCCAGCGTAATGAACAGAATAATCGATGTTATCGTTCGATACTTACAGCTTCCAAACTTTAAATGACACGTTTGACTGTCGTGGGGAAAACTGCGCAGATCCATCACACAAGATGCAGTGAATGACACTCTGAAAGATAACACACTGAAGGTCATAACCACAACAACAACAGCAGCAGCAATCCTTTATTTAAACACGATTTTTTTAAGCAACAGGTTTGCTTGTGAAATCGTGTATCTGGCTTAAAGTTTAAGAAAGCACAACTATATACATAATCATAATACATAATATGAAATAATTCTGTACTTATTCATACGAACAGAATCTTTACGTATGCACGCATGTTGCATAGAGAAAACTGCAATCATGAACAAATGTCTTGGGACAAATTTGCACTTTTGGCGCTTTTGCGCACACGCCAGACACGAATACAACTTCACCTGTCTAACCTCATCCCCTACCCCCCACCCCCCATACAATGTTGAACCTGCAATTTCACCTGATTTTCAACGTTGTATTGGGCGGGGAGGGGAACAGCAACACGTTTTTAAAAGGATAGCAGCGCTTTTTCAAACTTCAGTTGTAAAACACAGATAATTTGTTACATTACATAAGTGTCCCAAGGATATTTTTCCACGATTATGGGTATAGCTACTAGACCGACAGCGCGAGTCGGAAGGACTTGCACGTCAAAATGGGTGTGCCCATAAACCTAACCTCGTACCCAAAGTCTTCGTTTCTCGTGACCAGCGGTCGGAAAAATGGCGATCCCGTAAAGTTCACATTGGAAGTCCGAAAACATTGGACATGCGGTTGAATTGCACATGCCTAGCGGTAAAACACGTCGCTCAATCGAATCGGGGGTGGTCTCACTTCCGCTCATTTTCATTGTTTTTAAAACCAATCAAAATCGATCATGCAACGGAACTCTCGACAGTCGCTCGTTAGGTCTGGAAACATATTTTTGAGGAACGATATGGCAGTAACCATAGAAACATTCCGATTTCACTTGTTACGCGTGCAAAAGGTCGTTGCTTCACATTGAAAGTCAGTTGTAGTTTTAAACTTTTTCGTATTTTTTAAAGCATAGTTAATAGATGGTTATTTAATAGAGGGATGTTGAAACTTGACTTTGGTCTTGTTGTAGGTGTTTGTTGGCTATTTTGGGGGTTGACCCTGCACAAAACCTGGCATAATACAAAAGGTGGTTATGTGTGCTTATACAACCCACCAATATATGTATAGAAGCAATGTGATTATGTAATTCATGCATGGCCTATGAGCATAAAACAAAAGATGTGCAGGGTCCAGGACCTTCCAACATAAATATCAGCCTGTTTGTTTGTTTCTTTGATGCTTACCGGACTTCTTAACCACTCCCGCTATTAACTATGTTTAAGACAACTGATGCTTACCCCCTGCTGTAGACAAGATCACCTTCAGGACTGATAGAGACTTTGCTATGCGTTTCCAAGTTCGGTAACATTAGATTTGTCGCACGAGCGTTGTAACAGTATGCGTCAGGGGTCCATACGAGGTCGATATCACCCCCTTTAAGGGTAATGCTTCGATTTAATTTCCCTGCCAGTCTATTATCCGTCCAGCTTTGGATAAAGTACGAGAAGACCTGGAATTCCTAAGAATAGTATGATTTTTATTGTCAAGAAAGCTTAATTCGATTAGAATAGTGTAGCACCTTGTTTTAGAATTGGTTGAACCAAATGTTGCTGAAACAGTCCAATTGTGGCATTGCAACGTTGAATGTGAAGACATCGGTGTTTCACGAAAGTTTAAGAAGGCCTCTATCTCAGCATTGCATGAAGTAAATTATGGCATTACTTAACCTTAAACCCCGTTCACACCGATAAATTAAACATATTTTAATGTGGTTTAACTAAACAAGGTTAAAAATTAGTTGCTCATACCGTGCACACCCCACAACTAAACCAGGTAAAAACCTGTTTGATTAAATATGGTAGCAAGGTGGTTTGAATTTTGTCTTCTCAATATGACTGCAAAGCGTAAGCGACAAATTAGCAAAATCAAAAACTTGATTTAGTTTCACTAGTTCAGTTCATGTGAACGAGGATTTTCTGCTAATTTTATTGACGTCGACATGTTTTGCAATGAGCAAGCATTGACCACGTTTGAAAAAAATCATAATACCCTTAAAAATGCGCTTAGCTTTAGAATTCAGGTCAGGGACGTTTTGCTGTATTTGCATACATGACAGGGCAGGGGGTGTTCCTGTTTTGATATTGCATACATTAAAATTAAATTAACAACAGTTGTGGCGCTCTTACCATGTCGGCCTCGTGAATATTTCCAAATGATTCCACAAGGAGCTGAACCAACACTTCCACAGGTGAGTCTGAAAAAAGATGTGGCGAACAAGTCTCCATTAACCACTTGTTTTTTTTGGCCAATTTTATGCCCATATCATAACAAAATTCATGTTTAGTTCAAATCGAAATGTGTTTCTGTAAGGTCAATTAAGGACGTTCGCGCGAAAATTTTGCAGTGACATGCAATAGATTTTTTTAGATTTTTACTGCAGTCAGATAGTGAGTTACTTGTGTCATACATGCAAAACAAATTGAGGGGCACCGACTTCGTTTCAGAGATAGAGTGTGTGGAAACTACCCTAATTTTGAAAAATTAGCGCACGTAATTCAGCATGGTCTACAGAAGTAAAACGAAGGTAAGCGATCTTAGTCATATTCTGCAGAAGTGGGTCTGTTGCGTAAATGATTCCAAATGTTGCCAACGTTTTCAGAAAACCTAACCCTTCAAGAGGCATTTGAAACCACCGCACAGATAAACGAAGAGCTAAAAAGAACGGAATTCGATGGTGCATTTTGCAAAAAATTCCGA